TCATACAAATGGCAAAAATGAGTAATCATGTATGATTTGAATTTCTTTGTTCATTTACATGTGTGGATGCATAAAAGTGAATGCTGTCAAATGTCAGACTCGCCACTTCCCCAGCACCTTCCCTCTGCCCTCAGAGCAAAGCCATGAGGATAGAATCAGCCAGCCCTCCTTCTCCACATCCTGCAGCTTTGGGGAAAAGTCCAGATGTGTTCTCATAGTGTGGGAGATGATGGCAAGCAGGAAATCTGCATGAGGGAACAGCCCTTTCATGCTGACAGAGCAGTCACAACCCATCACCAAACATTGATCTTGGTCAGCATCACCTGCATCACTCACTGGGGTTTCATTCACCCTCAGCACAAAAGTTATTTTGTGATTTGCCAGCTATTTCCCAGGGCTTTAGAATGCCCTTTAGATATATTGTGTGGCTTTGCCCAAATCAAACACTCACCTCAGCCTTATGGGCTGTATTTCTTCCAGGGTTTCCTGGCTGCCATCACATATTGATATTATTTGATTTGCAGCCGCTGTTCAAAGCAAACAAACAAAATCTCACAACTTCTTAAACCTTTCTCCACGTAAGCCACTGATATTTGCTGGGAGCAAGAGGGRCAGGTAAAGCTCTTTTTATGTTTGTCCTCATGTCTTTTTAGAAATGAAAGCAAAGATTTAGCAAATTATTTCCTTACAGTTTTTCAGCCTGCCACTCTCAAATCTCCTGKCTTTCTYCCTGATRTGGCTGATGCTTCTTCCCGTGGCCWTGAGCACCAGAAAGGAGGGACAGACCCTCAGCAAATGCCTGGTGGTCCCAAAGCAGCATTTTTTCCAACACTTCTGCCCAGGAAGTGTACAGGTGACTGCGCTGTTGGCAGAGCATCCAGCTACCAACCTGCTTAAAACACCAGCRGGTGTTCAATGTGTGGGTCTGTAATGGGGTTATCCCAAAGCAATACCCTAAAAACACCTTCTGACTCATTTGGCTGGTCCCTGGCACAGCCCTGAGGAGCCTCAGTGTCACCTGGACAGCACAAGGGTGGCATTCCAGGCTGTCCCCAGGACCTGCTGGCACAAGGATCTGCCTCCAGCTGTGGTCACATCGTTCTCTTTGGCTGAGAGCCAAACCCCACACCCACAGCAATATATTCATTCAGATATCCACCTCCTGCTCATTGCCCATGGGGTATTTCTGGATGCTTCTCCCTCCTGCAGGAGGCTCCTCTTCCTCTCCTTTCCCACAGGTTGGCATCAGACAGCTCTCGATCCCCAGGCATCAACACCAACATTTCCCATGATTTCAACAAAGACAGGGTTTTCCCAAGGAAATCCTGCCACCAGAGTTACTCAAATGTTTTCACTCAGCAGATACAGCAGGTATTATTATTTGTTTGCTTTYAGTGTCTAAAAGGAGCTTCTCAGTGTCTCTTCGCCACAACTTGCTGCCAAAAAATTGTTACATTTAAAAAAAAAAAAAAAGAAAAAAAGCTTTGAAGTCTAGTGAAGCAAACAAATCCTTATGTCTTAGCAACAGCTCCTTGCCTCTGTTGAGTTTGGTGGCAGTTCAAGGATCAGCTCTTTGCAGCAGACTAAAGCACCAGCTACATCCAGCATTCAATTCCAACAACTCTGCACTSAGAGCCACAAAATCTCACTGCAGACTTTAATTACTTCCTGAAGGAAACCTGGATGGTCATAAGGATCMGCTCCCCAAAAAGCAAACTTTTTTGTTTTCATTAGTCCCTTTAATGCAATAATAGAAATRGAGCTGGATTAAATTTCAGTTGTGAGTTTATGTCACATAAGAAAATAAATTTTTCCTTTTAAAGGCATCTTGGCCTGCATAGCTCAGGGTAGCAGTGGCTCCATACCAGACATGGATGTGGATGTGAAGGGGGAAAAATGGAATATTGAACACTTCATAACTGTCCAGAAGCTTGAAACCTGCACCTSAAATAAAAATGAACAGGAAGGATTTGTCTGATTTCAATGTAGCTGCAGCCACCACAGGGTACAGTTGGGCATCCCTGGAATGAAGAGCCAAGAACTCAGCTCTGCCTTCTTGAGGGTTTTKTTGTTGTTRTTTTTGTTTWAAATAACACTTTTATAATAAAGTCTGATTATAGTGATGCCTTTATTCATTTATTTCTGCGGAAAAGCCAGTTGTAATTAACTTCCACCACAGCCTGCAATTTGCATGTTAAAGTTTACRATCACCCTGTCACAGGGCCATAATAAGCACCATTTTACGAGGGGGAACTCAGTAATTGAGGGTTTGTTTTGCTCGTGGCTCGCTGCAAAACCTGGGTGAGGGTTTTTTGTGCCATCAGCTCCATGCCTTGGTCTGATCTGTGTCAGGGAGGGGACAAATTCCATCGGGATGGCCCCGGGGGAGCTGACAGCAGATCAATTTGCCATCCTGCCTCCCGGATGACAGCCTGCAAAATAGCAAAACCCAGGCACAGGTACATAAACAGACTCTGACAGAGAAATTTGTAAAATGTGTTTTATAAAAATGTATTTATTTATATATGTATGTATTTATTTATAATGTATTTATTTATAATGCATTTATAATGTATAATTTATTATCATTTATATAATGTATAATTATATATGTGTATATTTATAATGTATGTATTTATTTTTATAGATAAAAATTTTATAAAAATGTATTTTACACTCTGAAGGTGTAAAACACTCCTTCAGAGGTGGCTGTTGGAGCACCCTTGGGAGAAAACACACAGCTTTTGTCCCAAATCTTGTTAAACCAACTGGATAAACACCCCAGGGAGCTTCCACATCTCCCCATGTGCTCCTCCACATCCCTCCCTGCCCTTTTCCAGGCCCTTCTGCAGCGCTCAGCCCTTCTGGTGTCGATGTGAGAAAGCCTTTTCTAAACTACTGCAAACAAAACCGTGCAAGGGATGAAAAACAATTAGCCATGTGTCAGCATCTAATGTATTTGCATTGTTTAGACAGAGCAGTTAATCACTGTGAGACCACAACATGTGGTGTGAATTTGGATTATAACTAATACATACAGAGCAGAAGGCTATTAGTTACATCTAAAGGCACTATTTGACGTTATTATTGAGGAGAAAGCGAATGCAATTAATTATATTACAATGTTCTTGCAGGATTCCTGTTTGCTTTTAGATTCTTTTTTCCTTTTGTTCAGAAAGGAGACAATTCAGGCAAGCAAAAGGCATCAGGAGCCAAGATTCTGTTCCCATTAACACCCCTGAGGTGCTGAGTGGTGCTGGAGGGGTCAGCAAGGGCCTGCATTTCTTTAAGAGATTTTAAATATAGGGTAAACTTTTCATTTGTGTGAAATAGTTGGTCTGCTGAAATGTCACTTCTTCCCTTGGGCTGGGAATCAGCAAAGGACAGTCTCCATGTGGTCTCCAGAAAGATTTCTGAGGGAAGGAATTTGATCCCAGATTTAATTAGAGGTGCAATATTTCCAAGTGTTCCCTCTCTGAAATGCCTGTTACCTATAGAAAAGAAAAGCTTAGGGCACTTCTTTTTTATTTAAAAAGGCAATTGTATTAATTCAGCTGAATTTTGCATTGGAATTGCAATGGCTTTGACAGTTTAGTTCCCTGAAAATTGCAATAAAGGCTTCGTTACGCTACATTTTGTCCCCATTTGTCTTGTGTACCATTGCCTTGCCTTTGGCACAATCAAAATAATCTTTAAAAATACTGCCATAAATGGATTGACTTTGACCTTCTGAGTATCTTGTCAATAAAATAAAGATGATAAATGTGTTTCAGAGCGCTGCTGGCATAATATTAAAGCAGAGCCACAATCTGTAAAAGTGACATTTGAAAAATTTTATGGGGAGGGGTCTTATTCTCCGTCAGCAGTGCCCCATAAATAAACTCTATTTACAGCCAGAAGAGGTGATTTTGCTAACTGCCAGGCTGTGCAATTCCTGTGATGTGGCCTCTGCCTCTTGCATCATCATTAGCAATTAAAGATTACTGCAGCAAGAAATTAGCTGAGCCTTCTGTTGCTGAGGGAGGAGCGGAGCAGCCTCACCTCGGTCCTTCCTGTGACCAACTCTGCCCTGCTGATGGGAAAAAGGGACTTGGCCTCATCGAGAAATGGCTCAGATCACCAAGAAAAGGCTAAAAAAGGGGTTTTTTTCTACATGGTCAGCTCTTTGGAGATAAACAGCTTTTAACAGAATCATCACAAGCCTTTCTTTTATTAGGTGAAGAGAAAAGAATGGAATATTCTGTAAAAAAAAAGTCAAGAGATGAATGAAAATAAGCAGGGCAGGAGAGCAAACAAACACATGTCAAGGTTCGATTCAGACTCTGAGATGCACACGCAGAAGCTCTGATGTGTTTGGCTTTATGCCTCAAGTGAGCCTGACCTGTGCCCTGAATATTTGCAAGCCCAACTTGAGCTCATTTCTCAAAACCCTCCACCGTTGTTTTTACACCATTTCTTTTTTCTTTTTATTTTTTGTCTGTTTAACATTTTTTGTTTTAATTCTTCTCAGCACATATTTGAAAGCATGTGAAGTGCACTTTATACTCTAGCATCAATTTATATCATGATTAAAATGCTCACGCATGTAGTAAACTAAATTAAAAACCCACGTATTTTCAAAGGTCACAAGGCTTTGGAACCTCAAAACACTACTTGATTTCTGAGGAGGAGTGACTCAGACATTAATCCCTAAAATTAGGCTGAAATCACGTTAAGAGGTGAAGGGTTTTGGTCCTGATTCAGATATGATGAAAAACTTGATAATTAAAATCTTTCTGTTACCAAGCTTGCACTTTTCTATTTTTAATTCTTGATTTACCTTGAAAATTACCCCAATCCTAAAATGAATCGGAACATAGAACAATATAGCATTTAAGCCGCTATTAGCAGTGTCCAGCGGAATTAAACGGATTAATTCATTAACCTGTCATTATTTATTAATAAATTATTTATTATTCGTTAATAATTTATTAACAATTTTCCTTTTCCAGCCTCCCCAGCCCCCGAGTGCAGACCAGGGGGGCACCGCATCCTCCGCAACCCCCGCAGGAGCCCCAACTTCGACTCGCGAGGGGCAAACGAGGGGCTGCTGTGTGACCACTCCTTGCCCCTGGCCTGGTACCGCCTCCTGCTCTGCCAGAGACCTGCCCAGATGCCCACCAGATGTGTCCAGGTCAGAAGAAATAAACCTTTTTGGGGAGTTTTCCTCCCTTTTGTAGAGTTTTCCTCCCTTTCGAGGAGTTTTCCTCCCCACCCATCTCTGCACTCTCCCACGCCGTGTTTCCAGTAGGGATAAGTGGGTGGTGATGGGGAAACCACTTTAATGATAATGATGATGATGATGGAAAGAATAATATTATTATTTATAATAATAATCATCAAAAATAATCATCAATAATAACAACAATAAAAGCGACAACAACAAAACCGACAGCAACAAAACCACCACCTTCACCATAAAAACCAACAATAGCAGCACTGTCTATCCATGGGGATCTGTCAGAGACCAGGATTCCTATGAAAAAAACAATATTCAACCAGACTAGGCAATATTCCAACATAAAACCGTGTGTTTGCCAGCTCTGAAGAGAGATTTTTAGTAATCTGTGTGTGCCACCTCAAGATGTACTTTCTTCAAGAAACCATATGGCTTTGAGAATGGATTCTGCAACATGACTCTTCTCCCACATAAATTATTATGAGTTAAGGATGTCTTCTTATGAAATCAGAAGGGAAAAAATCAATATTTAAAGCAATCTTTGGGGAAATTGAAGGAAAAGCCGAAGTTGAATCTTTTTCTGCTATTATCATTCCTTGTATTCTTTAGTTTCATAAGTATGCTAATGGCTTTTTGGAGCAAAAACCCTCCACCACACAAGACTACTCTATAAAAGAGACAAAACAATAATTATCTGGGTTTATGTGTGTTTAATATGTATGACAATAATGTTTAACTTGCAATCATTGTTGCCAGAGCAACTTCAGCCCCTAACTAAAGTCATTGTCACCTCAAATACCCCAACTGCAGGAGGTTAGAATAATTTCAAACATAAAGTTAAACAAAATTATTAGGAAAATAATAAACTAATTGCYGTAAATTACTTAAAAGATGAAATATTCAACCTAGAGTGCCAGGACATTGGTATCAGGTGATCCTACTCTTGCTGGAGAACCCTTTCAAAATTAGCAAAAACATTTTATATCCATTTAAACTGAACCTGTGAACTCATCACTGTTGAAGTGTATCTTAATAATACAACATTTAATGAAATATTAAGAGTTGCTGTTTCTGTAGAATTTCTAACAGTTTGCACATATAAACTATAYATCTTATTAATATGAATAAATTGGCAGGATTGTTATTGAAATAATGATTTCATGGCAGGTCATCCTTGAACATCCCAATGCACTATAAAGTTTTGCAGGTGGCTATATATGTGTATGTATATATTCTATAATATTATTTAATTTCTCATTATATTTCAGCAAATTTGAGTACGTAACAATGCTCAGCTGCATGAGTTTGCTTTCAAACAATACATGCTTTGTTTCYTTTTATCTCCTCTCTGGAGTTTTTCATTCAGGCTTGTGAAGGTATATTCATTAGTTTAGTTTCTTATCTTGTAACATAATTCTTGCCATTGGTTTCTTCATTATCCCCTGAATGACAGTAAATCTCTGCTTCGCCATGCTGATGAAGGATTACATCTGTTAGATGTCACAACTGGAAGAATACGCTTCTTTTAGATCCTCACCTTCWAAATCTGCCTCTACATTCTATCTCTTCCACTTAATTAAAACATTGTTTGATTTGGTTTTCCATTTAATTTCAGCAAAACCTCTGGAACAAAATAATTTAAATTAATAACTGCACAGCTTCCACCCCTTAATAAGCAGTTATTATTGGACGTTCCAGTCTGGCTGGAGCGAGCTGATTTTAATTAAAAAAGTCAAAGACAAAACCCTGAACAGATAKAAGAGAAAAGAGACCAAATAAAGCCTGACAATACGGCTGCAGAATTAAAAAGTACATTATTCTAGCACCTTGTAAAATATACACAGACTCACTTGTAAAATATATTCTCACACTCAGGGACTGTAACTGTGTCACAGCCAAGAGGCAACACAATTTAAGCTCTTAAGGAGCTGCTTCTCATCCACTAATTTCATTTAAAAGGGAGGAAAAAGGAGAAAAGACAGAAGAAAAACCCATAAGCGACAAAGGGGGRRRAAAAAAAAAMCACAGAAGTAAAATTCAAAGGTTTTTATGTCAAAGAAAGAGAAAATATTAATTGCATTCCTGAACTTGCCATCCCTTGAATCCAACTGCTGTCCATAAACTTATTCCTCCTGTGGCAAAATGTTTTTGATTGAAACAGCTTTCCAATTTAGGCTTTGCCTGCTGAGTTTCTCAGGGCGGGTAACAAATGATCCTGACCTTCCTCCCTCTATTTCTTCCCTGCCTTTCCCCCTGTGCTCCCAAAGGATGCACAGCAATTACCGGATCCTGGACATGCACTCCTGGCCRCAAACACTTCCCTACCCAAAAATATATCTTAGTAGAAATCCAATACAAATTTGCAAATTTTGGATCCTCGGGTATTGAGGCTGCTACTACAGATCATGATCTGTTCCTCAAGCACTGCCAAATAAAAGGCAAAAGGCAAAAACATTAAATGAAGAAATTATGGGAAAGCTTTTACTAAGAATAGGGCAGGGCACTAAGAAGCAAGAAACAATGCACAGACATGGCCAGACCACAGAAAAATGACCTTCAGAGGAAGAACAAAAGAGAGAAAAATTAAAGCTCGACAGAAAATCTATTAAAAATACAGAGAAGTACTTAACAGCCRATATGGGAAAAACATACATCAATTACAGAAATTCAACCTTCTGGATTGAAATAATAGAGGGTGTAGGCATACATCTGGATACATGTGCATGTGGGCAAGCCCCGTGGGAGGCATAAACACTAAAAAGAAATGTGAGGGAACATCACACACTGATGTTATTGAAGATCTGCTGCACAGTCAGATAAAAGATCAATCYGTGGATTGCAGCAGAGCAGAGCACGCTGCTGCCTGTAATGCAAATTCAGACACCACACCATGCTCCCAGCAAAGCCAGAAATGGGCTGGAAATGTGTTCCTTCCCATGGAGAAGTTCCACTGGCCCCAGGTGCTGTCCTCACCAGCAGCCCAATGTGTTTTTTTCTGGAGGGAACAGAAGGAAAGTGGAATAATTTCATCCTTGCATATTAACAACCTTCTGCAAACCCTGTTTCAGGAATTTCTGGGTTCTGACATGATTTGTTGAAATTTTCTTKTGAGGGCAWGAGGAGGGGCAGACACTGATCTCTGCTCTGTGGTGACAGTGAAGGACCCAAGGGAATGGCCTGAAGTTGTGTCGGGGGAGGTTTGGGGTGGATATCAAGGAAAGGTTCTTCACCCMGAGGGTGTTGGGCACTGAAGACGCTCCCCAGRGCASTGGGCACRGCCCCAGCACAGCTCCAGGRGTGTTTGGACAATGCTCTCAGCACAGGCTGTGACTCTTGGGTTGTCCTGTGCAGGGACAGGAGTTGGACCTGATGGTCCTTGTGGATCCCTTCCAACTCCACATATTCTGTGACTCTGTGATTTAAATTCATGAGCCAGCCCTGTAACTGCAATTTTTTTGGCATATACAATTCGTAGTGAGCCTTTCTACGGGCTACTTATGGATATGAGTCTCTGTTGGGGAAATGCCCAGTAATACCTGCCTGTGATGGTGTATCAAGATTATTTCCAATACCCTTCTTCAGAAATTTCATCCTCTAAATGAGCAAAACCCTCTCCAAATCTATGTGTGCTCTAAATTCATGTGCAACTGTAACTGTGCAGGCAGAAGGACAGGTTATGCAGTGAGGGATGGAGTTTTCTCAATGGTTTCATTTTTAGCAATATGAGTTTACTTTTTTTACAGATATATTGGGATCAAACACGGGCTCAAATGCTAATCTTTGGTGTACAAAACAAGGTCATGTTAAAGCGTGTCAAACCTAACCTGCCTGTGATGCTGAATATTTCAGTCCCTGGAGAAGCAGAAGATTTACTTTTTTCCACACTCAGTTTCATTCCCWCCTCTTTAACCTCTTGTAGAACATTTTATACTCACAATCAAAACACATTACCTCCGCTGCATACCATTAATTTATTATTTTGCTTCAATTTTTGTTTTGCTCTGAATCCAGCCTTATTATGATTTGCAATTGTTTTATGCATTTAAAAGCAAGTGACACTTTCAAGGTATTATTTAATCTGTAATTCTTTCTCGCACACGTGTGTGAATATTCCAAATGGTAATGGTTAGGTATGAAGAGCCTTTATTTTCTTGTTTGTTTTTCAGACATATGAAAACCCTTCTGTAGAAATTACAATTACAGCCTCTATTGTTCAGAGGCATGTGCTTAAACGAAAAACAAGCCAGGCAGCAGTTTAATTGCTGCTACAGATATTCCTGACATAAACTGATTTCTGTGGAGTTTGGCCCTAGAATGAAACTTTAAAAAAACCCTGAATTTATTTGCTTCAACTAACTACAAAGAAATTTAAAATAAAACTTAGCTAAAGTACAGTTTTGAGAAGATAACAGATGCAAAATCACAATGCTTTAACTGCCAACCAGCAGCACACCAAAAAGCCTTCCATCTCCATCCAAATAAAACAATGCATTCCTCACATATGGTGYTACTTATTTTTAACAGCATAATTTCAGCAATACCCAAGTGACAAGAACAATTGAGCCTGATTTCTTTGTGCAGTTATGAAGAACCACAGCGTTCAATCAATTCCAAATGTTGAAACTCCAAACCCCAAACAAGTGGAAGGAGACATCATTGGATTAAACAATAATGGTCTGTTCCCTTGATTTGGCAAAGGGGGAACTTTTTTTTTTATTTAATTTTTATTTAGGTTTTCTAAATTAGATTATTGAAATCATTATCTAGCCTAATTAGGAATAAAAAATTCTTAATGAATGCGTAACTGCCACTTAGGTGCTGCAAAGATTAATTAGGTAAGGTTTATAAAATGCTTTGAAGATCAAAACCACCACGTAATTATGATTGGTTAAAGTATGGAAGGATACTAAAGAAGGCTGGCAACAGCCTAAAGTGTCCTTTTTGTGTTCTCCTTAGTGAAAGCTGCATCACTGGAGGCCTAAACCTGTGGAGTTTGCTCTTGTGTAGAGGMAGAGGTGYAATTCCTCTTCYWCCCTTGGGAAATKCTGCTTSCCTTTGGATTGATGGTGTGRGATTCCCACATCTTCAATATATCCTTAGAGCAGCAGTGGCTGCAGGTATTGCAGGTAAATGCTTCAAAATCCCAATCATTCACCACCTCTGTGTGCAATTTTCTGGTTACTCTCCCAAATGACAACTACAAAATTCAGTGCAAATTATGCCACACTGGACACTTGAAAAGTTTGGCTCTTTGAAGCCTCTTCTCTGAGTTTCTTTGGGTTTTTGTTTTGTTTTGTGGGTTTTTTTTTCCTATTCTTATCTCTATTGCTGGGTTGAACACATGAATATACATTTGCCCTTCCCTTCCCAGGTCTGCCTTCCAATCCATGGAAGTCCCATGCAGCAAATCATTTTGGCTACTGTGGGGCAACCTGCCTGGCTCAGAAGGACCACACACAGCTCATAGCAGAAAATAAATTCAAATGTGTCACAGAGCTGCCAGGAAAACAGAAACACTCGATTTGTAACGAGTTTTGCACCGAAATTTGTTCTTYCTTGGCCAGCCTGCAATCCTGCAATCCTGCATTAGTTTGTTTCCATGATTTGCTGCCTCCCAGTCTGGCTTCTCCTGGGGGCAAAGCCCCTCSTTAGGGCTGGTCATTGCTGGTAATTTGAGCACATTACATAAAAATCTGTCTGGCTCAAGTGGTTTGAGTGCARGATTCACCAGGGAAACCCAGCAGGGGTTATCAGAAATCTGCATGCTGACATCAGCAATGCTAATCCAACACTTTCTCCAGCATGGAAATGGCTCATGGAATTCTGGTGAGGATAAACACAGRGGGAGAAAAYCACCGTCCCCTWATTCCARCATTTCCTTTTTTCCTCCCTGTGTTAACCTGGGATCCAGGCCCACTTTTACGTATGGATCATTTTCTGTCTTTTTTCKCAGTCAGAATGTGCTGGCATCTGCCTGTTTATCTGCATGGCCCCCAGCACAGCAGAGAGATGGTTGTCTCATTAATGAATTATCRGCCCAGCACTGCTGCAAGGCACCAGAGTGCCATCACCATCTCAGCCACCTCCACCTCTGCCTGAGAGATAACAAAGTGAGGTACAGAGAGAGTAAGTGATTTGTTTTTTGCCCATGGTCAGGCAGGAGCCAGAGAAACTGAGGCACACTGTGTGTCTGGCCAGAGGCAGCTCAGGCACTCCCAGTGGAGCAGCACTGACGCAGTGGCACCAATTTCAATCACAAAGAGAGTATCAGATGGATGCAATGGCTCCTTTTCAGCAGAAAAAGTTCTTTCACACAAAATTGAAATAGTATTTTTTGAGTTGGGATGAGCAGGCTGTGCTGTGTCTCCTCACCAAACCATTTCCTTCAAGGCTCTGAACTCCAGTGCTCACCCATCCCTGCTGCTCTGCTCCCCACAACTCCAATTCTTCCCAGCTYRTGGGGCTCCAAACACCACTAAATTKCWCTCACTAATCCTTCATTTTAGTGTAATTTCAAAMACAATGTTCCAGCCCAGCAATCTTTAGTCCCACATGCACAGGTACTGAAGTTTGCAGTTTCCCTGAGCAAGAGGAAATTCAGGGTGCAGGTCTCTCATCAAGAAGATGAGTATGAAGCAGAGACCACCAAACTCCAGTTTCCATCCTTCAATCCTCTCCCATTCTGCTTCTCTGGATGTTGTTTTYGCCACTGTCCTGGGTCATTACAAGGGTTTGCTCAAAAACATGCTTTGGAAACATGGTACTTCACTCCACATCTTACACTCCGGGTCTGAAGTTCATGAAGATGCAACAAATTCCCATCATCTGTGGYTTTCCCAGCACAGAAAACACCCGTGTCCCTTCAAGCTGTAAAAAAAAATAAACAGAACAAACCTCTGGGAAAAGTTACACAAAATGTGGCTTTTAAAGAAAGGAAGGGAAGGCGCTGGTCTGAAATTCCACCTGGAAGCATTTTCACTTTGATCCACCCTTGTCCTGTCCAGTGTTGGAACATTGTCCCTCCCCAGGGAGCTGCTGCACTGGGTGAGCTCCAGKACACCAAACAGGACAGCAGGGTCAGCCCCTCTGCTCAGCTGCTCCCACATTTCAGGGATAAAAAAAACCCCCAAAACCTTGGACAATTTCACTGGTGTGTTTTTCTGGAATCCTTTTTTTTCAGAAGCCTGACAATAACCATCTCCRAATGGAAATCAGACCACGTCATGTCATATTCTTGACTTTTTTTCCCAAATACTSTCCCTTTCCTGGGTGTGCACCTCCTCTCCTCTGCCCTTGCTTTCTGGCTTGAATATCTCCCAGGTGCAACTCAAACTGCAGGAGGGCACTGGTGCGTGACTTAACAAATTTATCCTTTGACTTTCACCRCTTCCCCCGCTGTCACAAATAACTTTCAATCTTGAAAGTGAAGCAGCAAACGTGAACCAATGGGAAAAAAATGGTAGTGTTTTGTTTTGTATTTTTTTGTCCCCAATGTGATTTATAGCCCAACACTCACACTGAGAGGAATCACGTTCCCCAAGCTGGGMTAGTAGAGATGGTTCACTATCACCRGCTGAAGAAATGCAAAGCGACAGCAGCAGTCACGCTCTGCTGAAGATGACTGATATCTGAGAGCAAATTATTGTCAGTATTTGGTAATAATTTCCAAACTTTAGCTCAAATATCTCCGTGCTTTGCACATTGGCAAATGCTAGGTAATGGTGCAGAATAATGAGTCACCACTGTAATTGGCTTTGTATATTTAATAAGGCCCTGATTACACCTAATCTCCTCACYGAGGTATTTAAATTAAAGACAGCTTTAGAGAGCCATGTTCCTTCAGTCAGGGAGAGAGCCTGACAGGTACAGAGGGCAGCTCACKCTGAGATTCCTGACATGCACCTGTAAGTTGGGAAATGGAAATCAGTCTCTCCCGTCCRTGACTCAACACGCTGTCATTTAAACCACTCAGGACCAACATTTTCTACTTTGGGATTTCCTGTGTTCAGGGTATTTGTTAATGGATAAAAGCCTGTAAGGAAAATAAATTTAAAAGAATTTTAAAAAATGCGATAAAATCATGCATACTCTGCACATATGTTTTGTCCATCTTTCATATGGGTCTCTCTTCAAGAATGAGGGTGAGGTTCAGAACCCACAAATGTGTGCAGTGTGGGCTGGAAGGGCAGCAGCAGGGCAGCTGTTTTACAGGCAGAGGATTGAGCCTGCTCACATGCTTCCATCTTCAGTCAAACCAATCAAAAMCAGAGGAAAGCACTTTGGGATCCTGTCCTTGACTTCTTTAAGAGTTTTATCTGTGTCAAGCCACCTCTCAAAACTGAGCAAGACGTTTTCATCCTCTGTTTTCAACCTGACCTTCCAGGTTCACCACACTCGGGTTCTTGGGTTTCAGTGATTCTCCATGGGGTCTTACCACGCTTGCTGTAAATGGTTTCTTTTGTGTGCACCCTCAGGTGAACAAATGTGGGACACAGGCTCCGGTGTGGCTGTCACTGGAGTCTGAATCCCTTCCAGCTCCTGGGGAGAGCAAGAGGCTGACGGGCTGTGCCAGCTGGCAGGGCTTTGGGGGCACCAGGCACTGCTGCCTGTTCCAGATCCCCATCACCGTCAGGAACTGCGGTGTTTTCTTCGTGTATCTCCTGCAGCCCACTCCAGGATGCATGGGCTACTGTGCCGAAGGTGAGCACCGCTGAAGTGTTTCTCAATAAGATTTTTTGTGCCTCTCAGGCCCCGGTGTGGCCGTGCACATCTCAGTGACCTCGCGAGCCGAGTGTCGCTCCCGCTAAGGTGAGGAATGTGTAGAAAATAAATCAGAGGCAGTCCAAGGTGCTCCTGAAGAACAGCTCTTATTACCAGTGCAAAATGTAACCTGGTGTGTGTTTCTGAAGCGTTCTGTGCTTGGTTACAGCTCACAGGTAACCTTTCCCTCTGCCTKTGGCTCCACTTTGGCTCGGAGCTGCAGAGGCACCTCGGCTGTACCCGGGCTCTGTATCCTGGATACTGTCTCCAAGGCCTCTCCTTATCTTTAATAATCCTGTATCCCCCCTCAAAAAACGTAATTCTGAAACCCTGCAAGGGAAGAAAACCCAAACTGCATTGATAACATCTTTTTCATGACATTTATATAATTGTTCTCGTCAGAAATAATTTCCAGCCCAGCGCAAGAGATGTAACCCCTGTTCGGTAGCTAGGAAACAAAGGGGAAGCAGAAAGCAATTGCTCATTCAGTTAAACCTCCTGAACTTTGGAGCATGGTCAGGTGCATATAGATTTCATCAGAAAACATGTTTCTTTCTCAAAATGAAAAAAATTACCTTTATACTYYCAGTGTTTTTGGACAGAAACATGAYGCACTGAGGAACTAGGGTTATCAGCTTTTCAATCGGGCAAAATCCAAGCTTGAATACATTTTAAAGAGAAAGATAACTATTTTCTTATCTTTATCAATATTTTAACATTCCCACATGAAGAAGAGGGAGGAAGAAAGGCTCAGAGAACATGAGATTAATTCACTATTTGCAATTTWAAAAAAAATCCATTAAAATAAATGAAACTGATTCTTTCTCAGAAATTACTTTTTAACTGAATAGAGTCACTTATCAGTTTAAGCTTGACTTTTTTATAAACTGTAAGATTTCCACTACCCTTGTTCAAAGAATTTTTTTTGCCAATACATTTCGGGTGATTTTGTCTTATTTGATGATTCATACGTGTTTAGTGATGTAAATCTGCCTGCATTTTTGGTAAAAAATAAATAAGTTTATCCCTTCCCAACTACCCCAATCTCATTTTCAGTGAGGTCCAGTCCTCCCGAGTCTTTAACTTCTTGTCTTTAGGATGTTTTTTGCAGCATCATATGTTGGATGGAAACCAACAGAGATGAAGGGTTTATTTACTGGGTTTTTTTTTTACCTCACTGGCTTAAATTCAGCAGTAAATATCACACCACAGGAGGCTCAGCTGGGTCCAGCTGGCGTGGTCATGGCTTTGTGCAGGGTCACTTCCCCTGTCCCTTCTGCTGGAGGTTCAGGAGCAGGACTCTGGTCAGCACCTCAGAGCTGCAAAAACAAAAATAATTTARAACTCCATAACTTGGCAGAAAGGACACAGCTGGGAAAAGCAGCGTTGGTGCTTGCAATTCCACTCACATCCTGCCGTGAGCTGATCCCCCAACTTTGTCCTTCTGGGAKAATTTCCTGCACACAGCCATGATGTGAGCCACAGTTCAAGGCAGCTTCTCTTAGAAACGAAATGGAAAAGGCTATAAACAACTGGTCTTTATTCATGTTTTTAGTAACTTGTTTCTTTTTCTTCCCCCTTGCTATTTGCCCTGGACAGATGTGTTAACACATTGCTTCTCTGTTCTGCCGTAACAGCTTCATACTTTATTCTCCTGGGCTCCCATGTTTTATATTTTTTACACTCCTCCAACAAAGTTTCTTAATTTATCCTTTCAAAGCATCTGCACCAGCTTCATGTTTTGTTTGAGTCTTGGTCTCTRGAGATGAAAAACTTCCCCCTGCACTATTACACACCTTTTTGTTTCTATTTTCTGGGTGAGTTTAACAGGAAGAAAGGTTTCAGACTTCATTACTGGTTGAAGCCTGCAGAAAGCAAGCTGTATTTTTAGAGCAATAGCATTATTCTGGGCAGAGRGAGACTATATTGAGCAGACCTAGCCTAGATACATCCCAAAACAGCCTGGAAAGGATCTTCACAGCATGGCAGTAGGGGCTGGGTGCTTTCTGAGAGTCAGCTTCCCTCTGCTACATAATGATTTCTCATATCTCTTCCGTGCTTATTGCAGAACTTGGATCAAAAGGCTGTGCTTCAGGGAAATGCAAAGCTGATGGCCTTTGCCAGAGTAATTAATTTGTATTAATCGGAGCACTTCATTTCAATAATGTTTTTCTTGCTGCAAAATTAAAAAAAAAACACACACACACATAAAAAAAGCGGGTCAGATGGTACAACAGCATAGGTAGTCAGTAYACAATTAGCAATTTTTGCATTTGATATCAAATACATTTCCTTGCTTGCATGGTTACTAATTAAATCACAGGAACATAAAGCCCAGTGTATCTCCCATGTTTAATTACATTGACACCTTCTTGTTAGGTGAAYAACTGTAATGTCAAAATAACATTTTGTGCTCTGTCCCTCTTTTGTTTTCCTCTTCCAGACAAACTCACCAGCCTGGCTTTGGATCCGGTGATCACTCCAGAGCTCGTCCAAGGCCGATCCCTCCTGAAGTGCAGCTACAGCCCCCGTTCCCCTGAGCCCCCAGTGCAGTTCAGGGTGCTCTGGTCCCGCCTGTCCAGCCCTGGGAAGAGGGAGCAGATCCTCCAGGAGAACACCCTAAAGGAGTTTTCCCACCTGGAGATGGATGGCAAAAATCTCCGCCTGGGAGACACGGTAATGCCACCCCCGCCTTCAGCACTCAAAGGGGATCAAACCCTTTTGAAAATATTTGTTGTGTTTTTATCAGTGCTGCTCTTCGCTCTTTAGACCTCGAGCTACTGCCCAGAAAAGAACCTAAACCGCTTCACAACAAGATTATTAAATAATATTAACCCTGTTCAGGACCTGTAACATTTCTTTGAATTGCAGCAGGTTCTTGGGAGGTATTTTACCACATTCGAGAGGCAAATTGAATATTTGCAGTTACATTACACCTTGAATTCTGTGAGGTTTKTGTAAGTGGTAGGTACATGTGCCTGAGCCAATTTTTTCTTAGTGCTTTTTGTATCTTGAGTCAGTGAGATTTTGCAGTAGAGGCAGGCTCAGCTGCATGCACTCAGTAATTTTTATATCCATGGACCAGAGAGACACAATAACATCTTTTCACAGGAAAGAAAAAAAAAATAGATAGCACATTTTAAAAKAGAGAGAGATTTATTTTATGGGGTTTTTTTCATGTCATTCTGCCTCTCTGATTCCAAATTCTTGGTTCAATAGCATACTGAAAGATAGAGTTCATTACAAAACAATCTTTAAGAAGTATATTTGATGGCTTACACAGCAACAATGATCTACTCTCAACAACAACAGCAAAACAGAAAGCAATCCAGATGTGAAAAAAAGACTTTTGTATGAATTCACAGCCTTTTATGGTACAGAAACAAGACTTTGAAAGTTAAATTAGGTTCATAACTTTTATAGGCAGAGGGCCATTAGTGATACTACAGCAAACTGAAAGAATMAACAGGGATAACGGCTTGGTGTTAAAAGGAGGTTGGAAATAGTCTTGGCAGCACTTCTTTGAGATCATGGAATAGYAGGATACCAAGCCCAAACAGAGGGCTCAAGGTTCATCTGGTCTAAACTTCCTTGGCAAAAGCMCAGTYTGGGCAAGGCAGCCCAGCACCTTTTCCTGCTGAACCTGGAGTATCCAATGTTGGGGATCCACCACTGCTGAGATTATCCAAAGAATGACTGTTCTCATTGTGAAAAAGATTTTTTTTCTGTGTGTCTAATCAGAATTTCCCCTAGTCTTTTTCGTGTTACTACTAGTAGAAAGGGACCCTCCACCTTCTTTGTATCCACTCTTTAAAAATGGAACATGGTGATGATATCTTCTCTCAGTGACAAAACCAGCTGCCTCAGCCTCTCCTCACGTGGCAGCTTGGATCATCTTTGTGACCCTTCCTGGACCCTCTCCAGCCTGCCCACATCTTTTTGTGCAGTGATGATCCAAACTGAATATGTTATTCCAGATGTGGCCCGAGAAACACTGAGTGAGATAACAATTTCTTTAGCTGAGTTCAGAGTCTGACTGATGATGCCCTCACGTGTCAAAACCAGGCAGTTAATAAATACCAAGACAAGTTTGCGTTATGAAGTGATATTCTCAGCAAAATAATTTCACTTGCAATCACTTCAAATCTAGTTTKAACAATCCTGAGGGATTCAGAGGAAATATGGTTCCGTTAACAAGTAGCATTGCCAAATCTTTCTRAGACTATTTTTATTATATTAAGTTTTCAGTAAGCCCTTCTTTGTCCTCTGCTGCAGCTACGTGTTTAATTTAGTGGGTTTAGTGAGACTAAAATGTTCTCTTCCTTGTTAGATTTCTTTAAAGGTCTTCATGGCCTATTTGACTAATTATAATTATCCATAAATCACCACGGGTGAAAACCAAGCGATGAAGCTTTGGCTGTAAATGAGAACTCAGTTTTACAGAATAAAGATTAAAAAAAGCATTTCACTGTGTTTGCCATCCCAGTCTGGCTGTCTAATAGGAGTCAAAAAGGAGAAAACTCTCACCTATAGTGGTGTAAACCTAAAGAAATTTAGCATTTTTAGGGCTACCCCAGAGGAAAGGTGATGTCACTGAAAGGGGAATCAAACCCTGGGCACCAAACTCTGCCACAGAGGTGATGAGAAACTTTTACCTGCCCAAGAAAGATGCAGGTGGAAGAAAATTCCCWCAGGCAGCATTAAAGGGGGGCCAGATTCACACTGGTAAAATTTACATGAGAGAGGAGACAATAAATCAGAGCACTTGCCAGTGCTTTCCCCCTTCTCCATGCAGAGCTCAGGGGTAGCATCCCCAAGACTGTGCACTGCCAGAGTGTTCGAGGGTCATTCAGGGCAGCATTCATCCCCAAGGTCACAGAATTTGCAACATTTTGAAAACTGCTTGCTTTTTTAACCTTTAAAGCTCATTATCTCTACCTGCACAATAGCCTGCATTTAGTCTCAACACACTCATGAAATCAGCACCTTCTCTGTTCATTTCTTGACAAAAAAACTACACCCAAGCAAGATTTTTATTWTTTTTTTTTACATCACCTTTGGGGTGGTTGATGTCAGTGCTATTCTTTTTCTGTGAAAAAGTCTCCAGGTAATAGGTCAGTCCCATAATGGAATAGCTATTGATATATTTTAATACGCCGTCAAACGTTAGAGAATAATTGAGATTTACCAGCCAACATCCCTGAACTTGTATTGACTAAACAGCCAGTTATTTTTTAATAGCCATCATGTGTCCTTTCTTTCCCCCCATCTTTGGGCTCCAATTTTGTTATTTCAGGCAGTAATGCTGGCAGCATAATGTTCATGAGACTATTGCAGTCTTAAATAAAYCTATAACATGACACTATTTCTCTATAAGCTCTGAAAGGAGCCTACTCCATCTGATATGAAAATCCTGGCATTCCTAAGCCTTATTTATGTGATAGTGACAGAGGTCATTTCATTCCTCGAGGCACAGCCATCTATAAATTATAGCAGCACGCTGTGAGTAATGAGTTATGCTAAGAAAGAAAGGTGTTTAGGAGAAAATTCTGCAGATTCTGCTCAGCGCAGCAATCCGAAAGTTCACACGGCGAGGAGCAATTGTCACCCTACATAAACCAYGGTGAAATAAGGATGTTTGAGCAAAACCAGCCCCTCTGAGCTCTGTGATAGAAGTGGCTGCTTTGTATGGTTCTCTGCAACAGAAGGAGATTTAGCCCCAGACAAAAAGATCACAAATTATTGCCTAAATACATAAAATAACTATATTTCCATCACAAGAGAAAAAGCGTGAAATTTCACAGAGTGGTTTGGATTGGAAGAGAYGCCAAAGATGAYCCAGTTTCAAACCCCCCTCCATGGGCAAGGACACCTTCTGCATGACCTGATTGCCCCAAGCYCYATCCAARCTGGCCTTGAACACCTYCAGGATGAGGTGAGAGATCCTACCTGTCCTGTTGTCCTTGGTGCTAAAGAAAGCCAGATCTCACAGAGCCAGATCTCTTACTCCTCATTTCTAAGGGAAATTTGATTTTTTTCTATTGCCAGCACTTCTAAGAGATGTTCCAGTTCACCTCAGGGGATAAGCACATACCAGATGATGGATCCAGTACATTTATTGCACTTAGATGAAAAATCCAGGGCATATAGGCTCAAAAATGTTAAATCATATTAAGTCTATACCTTGAGTGTATACTCCAGCACTTAGAAGGCCATCTGGAGGATTTGCTCCTTTTCTCTCCCAAAAATAGAAAGGTCTGAGATTACAGAGCCCCAGTCAGCACTGACCCTCAGCATCTCCYCTTTGGGGTTACTTCACTGACTGGGACTCTGTCCCTTCCCAGTTCAGAGGTCTGCACCCCGATCTGGACTCCAAAGTGACAAAGTGAAAATCCCCTCCAGCCACTGCACTTGTCAAAATCAGCAGCAGGAATAGGCAGACCTGCCTGTTTGTAGGTCACGCCCGAGTTTACACTTTCCTTCCCAGCCTTCAGGTAAAAAATGAGAATCATCCCCGCAGAAAGAGAACTCTGGGTGAACTTGAACAGAGAGTTTAAAGCAGGAAGGGTCAGAGAGCTGATGAGCAAAAACTCTGCAGATGATAAAACACCTTACTACTACCTCAGGAAAATTTCCTTCCTTAGCAGAATAATAACCTGGAGTTGCTTGCACACACTGCTCGGCTGTCTGACAGATGGGAGAGCTCCTGCTCTCTGTACAGAGATGGCAAAGTGAGCAGAGCTGTGCTTCCCACAGTGCTGGGTCACACCRTGCYCCTGCTCCCAGAGCCYCTCACGCCACTGATTGCTGCTCTAMAGCSTTAGGARCCACTTCATTAATTAAATCAAAGTCAGATTCTCCCCACTTTCCCCTTCCTAACCCTTCTGGAAAGCCTTCCCAGAGACTTTGTTCCTATCCCTTTTCTGCAAAAGCCCACAGCCAGGTTATTTTCTCAAGCTAATGAGAGCTCTTTTTTTTCTTTTCTTCCGTCTTCCCCAGAAATGTCATCTTCAGTTCTGCTCATCCTTTGCTCTTTTCATTGGGGCTGTAAACCACAGTTGCCTCCCACACACCCTCCCAGCTCCCAGCAGAGTGGTGAGGATTTTTTAACCCTAGACCAGGATTTTCTAACCCTAGAACAGGATTTTCTAACCCTAGAACAGGATTTTCTAACCCTAGAACATTAGGGTTTAATGCAGCAGGCAATGGCAGCTCTGGTGTCTGAGCACCCCCAGATCAGGCACCTGCATCTGCCATTCAGGATTATTTAGGGGGAAATGTGACACTGAAGACATTATTATCATCAAAATAACAACTGACTTGAATTCTGAAAGCTCTGRGCAAAACATCAACATTTTAACTTGCATGTTATTGGGGAGACATTTTCTGGAGATGGCAACARGTCCTAAGATTAAAATATTCTTCCAAATTGTTTCCCAGAGCTACCTGACCCTCACGAAATTTAAATTCTCCTTTCAGCTAAAGGAGCTGCTCATGAGGTTCAAGGCAAAATGAGTATAACTCTGTTGAGTCCATGAAAAGGGGAAAAATCTGCTCCAACACACAGGATAGGAGGCACTTCTTAGTTAAAAGAGCCTTTTTTTGATAAAAGTTTTGTGCCAAGGAGTTGTTTTCTGCCCTATGGGAAGTTTTGCCAGCACACAGGGAGAAGGAAGCATCCCTTGTTGAGAAACAATGCAGTCATCCTGTCTGAGGGCACCCTTACATTTCTGTCCCTTTAACAGAGATGATGACAAAATATAATTTGACTTTTTTTTTAACGGATCCAATGAGTTTGTGGAAAAATACTGCCTAACTTGTCACGGCCATCAGCATACTGCTGTCAGTGGTGCTTTTATCTCTTTGCTTTAAAAAGGCTGCATCCAGAGATGGGTGTWGGGAGGGAAGAGAAAAAGAGAAAGAAAAATTTGATTACTGAAGTGGAGAAAAAAGAGTTAGTATTTAGCTGAAGGCAAAAAAAAAAAACCCCTTGGAATGACTATCATAATTATGTGACAAACTGTCAACCTGTAGCTCAGTAGCTGATGAACATTGCTGATTGTGAAGTGTGCACCTAACAAGGAAGAGGCTCTACAAGGGGAGGAGTGATATAAAAGACAGAAATAAAATGTAAATCATGATGGATGTCCATGCATCTTGAATTTGTAAAGTTTGTGCTAAACCCCAAAAGCACTGAAGATTGAGCTGGAGTGTGGTGGTAGTGTRCAGATATCTCAGTGTATCATTAGGGAGTGATTTTTATTGAGTGTTTGGTGCTTTATCAACAAAATGTACCTCTAAAATAAATATGAGAGGAAATGGAAGGGGGCTGGGCTCTGGCATTTCCCAGGATGTCAGTTTGGGGAGGATCACCAGGCAGTGCCTCTGTCCCTGCTCTGCATCCCTGTGCCCGTCCCTGCAGCTCCCTCGTGGTGAGCTCAGAGGGACCCTCAGTGGGAACATTTCTGGTTAAAAGCACTGAAGCCAAAAGTGCAAACATCCCAGTGAGTGCAAACACATCATCTGCAATGTGTGAGATCCGCTCAATGAGCCCTGCAAGGGGATCAGTGGTATTTGGTTTTTTTGGTAGGGGGAATTTGCCTTACCAGAGCTCTTTCTCTGCTGTCACCGCCTTGTCAGATCCTGATTTTGCAGATTCTCCCCATGGCAGCTGCAGGAGAAGCTGCAGGAGGATGATCAACACTTGCACTCTGCCTTCCCAGCAGAAGAACTGTTTTGAAATGTCTGTAAGCTGAACACGAGCCTTTAGGGAAGGATTTGAGATAATAAATATCTAATGATAACAGGGCTTATTACCTTGAGAGACAACAACTYGCTCTCCTTTGGAGGCAAACTGGATAACTATGAAATATCTCAGGAATTTTAACTGTGAAACATCACTGTGAGTTGAGCTCTGTGTCTGTTTTTTCCCCCAGTACACCCTGTATGACCTCAGGGTTTCCATCCTGTTAAGGTAACAAATGACACCATTTTCACTGGGCCAARCTGTCTGGGGCTGTCTGCAAAAGAGTGAGAAAAATTGTGAAGGTAAAAACATCCCAAAAGGCACATAAGCCTGGGACTGAGCTGAACTGGAAATAATCCACTTGAAGAGCACAGAAAACACTWGTTTTTCCCCACAGCCCTACAAGCATCCCTGTATTGCTGGTGGGGAATTTCCACTGTGCACAAATGAGGTRGGAAAGAAGATTCTTCTTCAGTTTGGAGGAAACTCATGACTTGGGGGCAACAAAGACGGATTTTTAGGGTGGTAAAAKAAATATTCCAGGCTGCTATGAAACTCAGGCCCATATGAACACATGAATCTGGGAATATCCTGGTTTAGAGGCAGGTTTAGAATCTGATTTTGAAGTTAGTGGTCATGAGGGTCATACCTGAGCCAGTATGGCTGGTGAGTGGTGCTGGAAAATCCAGCCAAAGGTGTTTGTCAYAATGGAAAACRAACTGCATTGGTCCMRTTCTTCCTCSTGGGYTATTTGAGGCTTAAAAAAAGGCAGCAGCTATAAATATGTCATCTGAATATTTGGAATTTGATTCAATATGTCACAATCTGTTACTCCATTTCCAAGAAGAAGACTAAAACCAAAATATTCAGAACTACAGTTTCAGACTCTATTGTCATTTGCTTTAAGGAAAATTTCTCTATTTTAATCTTACGATCCTAGAAATGATTTTAGCAGTTTGTTTTTGCTGAAACCAATGAAACATTCAGTTGGCAGATGGTGTGCGGGCTCAGCAGAGATAAGGATTGTGTGGCTGTTCTAGGAATACGACATAAGTGTCCTGGTACATTGTGTTTGGAGAGGTTTTTGTTTGGGTGAGTTCTCTTTTATTTTTTTTATTTTTTTTTAACACAATGTAAACCCCATAGGCACATCTGCATCGTCTTTTAGAAGGCAATAAGGAAAAAAAAAAAAAAAAGGAGCTTCTCAAATTGCTGACACAGTTTCTGAGACTGGATGACTGTCAAACTGATTAAAATTTTGAAATAAACTGCTTACAAACGTGGTACAGAGAGAGGATACTCGATCCAACAGGCAAACTGGAGTCTGGGATCCCAAGAGCAAATGTCTGAATTGTGACAGTAACATCTGTGAACACTGAAATTCTGCCTCAGTAAAATGAGTTAAAATCACAAACCAAGGTGCTTGAAGAACTGCAGAAGAAATCTCCTCATAAGCATTCAGCGTTATTAATTGTTGAGAAAAAAGCCATGATTTTTAGCTATTAAATGATTCAAAAATTCTTCCAAATCTCAAAATTTAAGYATAAATATTCTTAACGCCTAAATAYSCAAAATATATTCCAACAGTGGAATGGAAACTTAAAAGCTCTGAGCAACAGGAAGATGCATGACTATATGAATGTTATTCAAGAAAATGCAATTTATGTGGTTTCTTTACTTGTTGCAGGTGTTTTGCACTGTCACAGCKTTTAGGAGGGGCACTCCTGAGCAGCAGTCACTACCTGAGGACAGCCAAGGTTTCTATGCAGGGATTAAGGTAACACTCATGGCCCTGATTTAATCACTATGGAATATTTGAAACTCCTGATGGAGAAACACGAGTCCTGATTGTCACGAGCAGTGCTGCTTTGATGTTCACTTTGAGAAAACAGCTTTTTTTTTTTTTGTCTTTAAAACACTCTGAAGGACCCACTGACACCGAGGGCATGTGTGGACACTCATGTGCCACAAATTACAAACAAAAGGACATGTCCCAGTAAATGTGCCCTGGAGATGTCTGTGGGTTATGTAGGAAGGGAAGACACRCCTACAAACCTGCAAAGAGGCACAATTTTGTTGTAACTAAACCAGAATAAACAAGACAAAATATGAGTTTTTATCCATCACTTTCCTCTGGTCAGGCACTACAAAGCAGAAGCTGCTGAAGATAAATTCACACCGAGTGCAGGGACCAGGTCTAATCCCACTCCAGGATTAGGCTGTCAGCCTGGCACTCCAGGAGATTGTCAGATCTGTGTGTCTAAATTTCATGCCTTCATGGGAGGGGTTTGCAAAACCTGGCAGCCCATTCTGTGTGATATCTGAAGAGCAGCTCCTGAGGAATTTTTTTGAAAAGTCAGAATTTTCCAGGGAATGGAARTCCCCATTTCTGGCTAGCCCTGAGTGCTGCTTCTGCTGTTTTCCCAGGAGAACAGACAGACAGAGAAGGCACAACCTGAGCTCTCTCCCTGGAGCAGGGGTCCTCAAAGCTGTAATATTTTATGGGCAGAACAATTCTTCTTCCTGCCATAGAAGGGAAGGAGAATTCGTCAAAAATTTCATTTATTTTGCACCCAGCATAGACCACAAACAGAGAGTCCACGGCYATGAAGTTATGCCAGACTATGCCATGGTATCTCTCCTACTGCATTGGGATAGGAGCTCCTTTAAACCAGGCTTATTAAAAATTAATAAATTCTACATCATTATTCTCAGGCTTAATRGAAGCCTGCTTTGAGATTTGGAGATGAGAAGCAATTACATTCTATATATGGAAACTGCAAACATTTCCTTAATTGCCAAAAGTGTTAAAGTATGTTAACAGCAATTTTACCTTACAAAATTGGAGATCATTATTGCAAAATTTATTATTATTAAGAAGATAATGATAAAGATTATTATTATTTTGCAAGTAATTAGATTTCTTCATAATTGATTAACACCACTCAAAATTTCGTGGGCGTCAGTGTTGCTTGATTAATCCGTCATCTCTCTTGCCTGTCGAAATTATCTAAAAATTGTTTTCTTGTTTCCAGTTTTTACCAGAGTCACTAGAAATTGCAGAGGATGGCAAAGAGCACGTTCTGACTGTCCTGAGCACGGTACCCATTGCATGACCTGGGCATGATGATTCCTGTAAAATTACTTTGCAGCTGAGTACTGAGGACTTGGGTAAGAGTTTTTCACATATTGACATCAAATCAATGTGATTAGTTTTTTTCCAGTAATGAAGGTGCAATTAATTCTAATAGAAAAATATAATATATAAATAATACCAAAAGGGCAGAAGCCATAAAATCAGCAAACTWGGCCATATTTTTATCTGCAAAATAAAACAGTTGATAATGTCAGACAGGTTTTTGTGGGAAAAAAAATAAAACAAACCCATAAATCTGAGTAGCAATAACCTGAACAGAAGTCTTTTGAGATTTATGGATGAAAAAACTGTGAGAAGAAGGACTTATTTTAAATTCCAGGAGTACAGAATTCCATTTTAAGGGTGTTTTTTTTTGTAGCAGGAATGTTCTTAGGTAGAATAATTTCATTAATTATCAGTAAAAATCTCCCCTGCAGGTTTATTATTCAGTAAATGCATAGTGAAGCTTTTTTTCTTTCTTTTGCTGGCTTGTAGTTTTTGTCTAACTTAATACAAAAGGAAAAATCTTTCTCATGCTTATATATAATTCTCTTTCTTAACATTTAAGGTTTTTTTTAAAAAAAATTGTTATTTTGAAAACATTGACAATGTCACTAGAGAAAACTCTTGCCCTTTTAKTCAGTAAATGCTGCCTTCAGGTGGTGTACCCCTCTGCCTAATGGGAGCATTTATGTATTTACTGTCCATTTGCACTAAATAAAACACCCAACCCTTTTTCTAACAAGGCACTTCTTCTATGACTCAATGAGAGAAATATAGAAATATAGAAACATAGAAATATTTAGAGATAGGATTACAGCTGCAATTTCTCTACCCCCAAAAAGCCAGCTCTAAAAAATGTTGGCGAAACCCAGATGGTTCCTGATATTTCTCTTTTTTTAAAATCCCTTTCCTTGTTCTTCTCACCACCAGCCAAGTGCTTAGGCAGAAGAAAAAAAAAATAATTAAATGGTATCATAACACAATGATCTTAAACTGAGCAGCACCTTATGGTTCCAGCAGCTGTGTTGGCTCTGGTACGTGGATATTTTGCATTTCTCCATGGCTCAGGGCTGCTCTGCTCTACACATTGCTCTTGGCTTCCAGTCGGTGCTGCTCCAGCAGGGAAACATCCACGGAGCTCATGGGAATGGATTTCTGTGGATAGTGAGGCAGGGAAAGGATGCCTTGGTCCGGGGGATTGAGGATGTTGGGGCTGTGGGACATCCCCAGCGACTCTGACTGCTCTGAGGATCAGACAGGAATTAGTCCCTCATTTGTTTAACTCACGTTTTCTTAGGCATCAACCAAGGCTTTCAGCACCTCCCTGACACAGCCAGGAGCTCTCCAGAGGGGGAGGATGAGCTCAGCACACCAGACTGACACTGACCCCTCGCAGGGTTTCCTCCAGAAGAAAGAGACGATACCAAACTTGCAGGAGCAGCTCTATTTTCRAGCTGTCAACGGGCTTGATGTGTTGGTGCCAAGAGGTGCCAGGAGGAAGGCACAGCTCGTCCAMTTAACTCCTATTTGGAGGAAGTTGTCACTGAGGTGGAAAATTTCWGTTAGTTTTGATCAGCTGGTTTCTGGAGAATAAACTGAACCCATCTCCAGCCCTTGTTTGCTCCATGCTGAGGCTGATTCCTCAGATGAACCCGGGCTGTTATCAATCGAGCTCTCCATATCTACTCAAGGCTGAGAGTCTGCACAGCCACGTTTGCTCTGAGCTTTATTTTCTTTAGGGTCCATTAGTTTATCTGAAGGAACACTGCGGGCTTTGGAAAAAATGTGTGCTGGCCACAGTGCTGGAAATTAAAAATAAAAACCATTTTAGCCGAGATCTGTTTATACCAAATAAATTAACTGACAAGCTCCTTGTCTGACTGAATCCATATAACTGCACTGTAGTGCTAATTATGTGGGGAATAAGTGATAAGAAAGCTAATTACAAGCACAGAAATATCTCTCTGAGTTCAGACAATATCATAATGAATGCCAAGGCACAGCAGAGCCACTGGAGTTCGGCTTCTGTTCAGTTTATCGTTAGTGTTTTGACAAAATCATTTTCTTTGATTTTAAACTTTTGTTCTGGGTTGTGAGCACAGCTCACAGGGCTGTAATGGCAATAACTATTCCTCATGGAAACCTCCAATTTAATTGAATCAAGAACCTTGAAAACGAACCAGGATTTTTCTATAAGATGTGAGGTGAGGCAGCCTTTAAGGATTTGATATGACAGATAATATGTCATTAATATCTATAGATTTTAGCTCAGTTCCCATAGTACTGTACAGGGTTAATTTAAATTATATTTCATGAGATTTTTCCATAAGGAATAAGATACTGATTATTTGATTTTGTTAGAAATGTCCTCTTAAAACACTTTAATGCCATCTTGATAAATTATTAATCAATTCTACAAATGGAAAGAATGATCACTTCTTTTAATATCAGAAAATCTTATTTTCATCTTAGATTAATTTTATTGCCACCATTTCTAGAACTTTATTCTTATCAGATGATAATTAGTGGTCTGGGACAGAAAACTAAATGCTCCTCAAGAAATGCTGTAAGCCCTGACATCAGCAGTGAGATCCTCACTGGCTTCAGCAGGACCATAGTTTCATTTTTTATCAACCAAAGGATTCATGAAAGATTGAGGGGCTCCTTGAGAAGCAAATGCACGCTATGCACAGTGCAGACCAGATGGCTCAGCACTAAATGCTACCGTAATTCARTGTGAGGGAAAACAAGTTAGGGAAAACACATCTGTAGAAATAAAAGTTCGGGTTTGCCCTTTACCTGAGACAGCAGCAGGAGGGGTCAGGACCCGAGAGAAGTGGACACTGCCATTCTGGCTGCGTGGAGAGGTCCCTTTAGGAAATATATGATCTGCAGTGCCATTGTCACAGTGATTTTGTCACCATCCATCATTTCCCTACCCACCATGGATGCTGACATAGCCAGTATCTCATAGCTTAATCTTTTCCCTCATTTTTTTTAGTAAATTTATCTGCACAGTAGCTCTGTAAAGGATACAAATAAAATTATAATCGTTTTGAAGACTGGGAAGCAAAACACCGTAACCTAAATAGCCTAAAAAATACATTAAAAATATGTAACCTAAAAAATACAAATACAGACCGGCTGCTTTTGCCTTCCTGCTGTGGATCCACAGTTCACCAAAAACTAACTTGAGAACCCTCCATTTCCACATAAAAACCTCTGTTTATTTTAAGTTAAATAACCCCCAGAAAGTACTTTTTTTATACTCCAGACAGTGACAGAGAAATTCTTTTCAGAAATGCGGATCCATCTCTTTCTTTGTCACGAGAACGACTTGTCTTCATTTACTGGGCACGGACCCRTAGAGATAACGCTGTCACTCCAGAAATATTAACACCTGTGGAAAAACAGGCACCGCTGAGTTTTAGTAAACTTTGGGGGGAAAAAAACCATCAGAGTGAAGCGTGCAGAGGGATGCCAGATTGAGTCAGTCACCACAGCCTGCATGCAAAGCCCATCTGGTTTCCAGTGTGTCCTGCAATGAGAAGCGCTGGTGTCGAACAGCAAACAGAGAACAGGAAACACTTTGGAGAGCTCTTGTCAGACTCTGTGTTGGTGTTCTCTCCAGACAGCCAGGCTCCAGGGCCCCCAGACATCGCCCTGTCGGCCTGCCAGGTGCATCTGCTGCAGGAGCCSTGCTCGGGGAGCAGCTGTGCCACAGCCACGGTGACGGTGACAGCAGTGACCGACTTCGCGCAGGACGGGAGCCGCGTCAGCCGCATCAGCGCCGAGCCACTCGCTCCCAGGAATGGGCTCTGGAGGGCTCACACACCCAGGGATGTGAAAGTGAGCTCCTAAAATCAGCTGAAAGACGTGTCAAATTTGAATAAGAGGTTTCTCTCTCTGTCTCTCTTTTTTTCTCTTTTTTTTTTCTTTCTTTTTTTTTTTCTTTTTTTCTTTGATCTTTTTTTCCCTCTTCCAAAGAAAATGAACCCTTTGGGATGGCTGTCAGAAGAAACTTTAAAAACCATCCAGTTGCATCCCCTGCTATGGGCAGAGATATCTTCCACTATCTCAGATTGCTCCAATCCTCATCCAATCCAGTTTTGGACACTTCCAGGGATGGAGTAGCCACAGCTCCTTTGGGAAATCTGTGCCAGAGCCTCCCCACCCTCACAATAAAGAATTTCTTCCTAATATCTAATCTAACCCTGCCCTCTGTCAGCAGAGTAAAGCAAAACAGTCACTTTATTCCAAGAAAATAAACATGTAATCCTTTGTGCTTTGGCAGATTCAGGTTTGGTTATCAGTCAGCACATCAGGAAGGCCAAGAGGAGGAATAGAGAGGTGTCCAGGAGTGCTTTTGTAMACTGGAAAAGGAGAAGGAAAGGTTTAGGGAATGAGCACCTTTTTGAGAGGGAAGGAGGGGGAAAACCAAGGGTTTGGAGAACATTTGCTGAAAAATCAGAGGAAAGGCAGTGCCTCAGAAATGAAAGAGGGGCTCAGCGGTGCTTTGTCCAATCTGTGGAAGGGACACCTTTGACAACACACGTGACTGCTTTGTCCATACATTTACTCTGTACAAAATGTCCAAAATCAAAATAATAAGAAGCAATCAGGGAAGCAAGTCACAGTTTCCCTGCAGAAAGCCTGGCCAGAGGAGTGTGGTGAGCAGGGACCAGCCCTTTGCCTGTGGAGTTGTTTCAGGGCCTCAGCTGAGGTTTGAGAGCTGTAATTCAACCACCACAGACAATCAACCAGAGCACAGATTTGACTGAGCAAAATTTCTCAGAGCAGGGGCACATCCAAGCTGGCATATCTTAAGTAACTGAAAACCCCCCCAGTGAAATCCACAATTTCYCTGCCCCAATTTTTGTGGATTTGASAGAATGRGATTAARCKGGACCMAAAKAATTTTTGTCTTCAAAGCTGAAATGCCTAGCACTAGACTATAATATTTCGTCTCCAGAATAGGCTTCTTTTAAACTTTTTTAGATTCTTAAATCAGAAATAAGAGCTAGTTCAGCATAGCACACTCACACACTCATATTTTTTTTTCTTGAAATTACAAATGCTTTCATTAAAATATGAAGATGTATCAAGTGTGAAATTGAATTAATCMRTTTTAATAATAARTTYMATTTATCTCAGTTAAAACTTGATCTATGGAAACCCAATAGACATTACCTTCCTTCCCCCCCATTTTCCTGTTACTGTTTTGCAGTTGATTAGAGGCCTTAATGTAACAGATTTCCTGCAACATAGCAACCAAAAGTCCATGTATGAAAATCCACATAATCTTTAATCCTTCTGACTTGTTCAAATATATTTGATTTATCTGAAAATTGAACAGAAATGATGGGCAGAACATGCTGATGTACCTGGACACTTAATAAAGACAATTTTCYGAACAAACTACTCCTGCCTGCAACCAGGACTTGGGTCTTCTGCTGAAATTATGCAAGAGCAGAGCAGACAGGGCAGACACGTGGATCTGTTTGTGCTAAATTTTAGCTTAGAAAGGGTGAGGTTGTGGAGAAAATGAGAAGATTCTGAGACACTTCATCCCACAGTGTAAATCAAAATCATACAACTGACCCCAGATCAAAAACTTGTTCAAAGAGGGGTTCATTTTTTTCRGTCCTCAAGACTATCACTCTTAAAGTTTGGCATGCCAGACACTGTTGGAGATCTGGGAAGTGTCTCTGTGCTGTGGTTGAGGGGCATTCTGAAATACAGATGATGTATTGCTGCAGGTGAGGAATGCTGTCTGGAGCTGAGGTTCTATCTTCACCCTCTAATTCATTTATTTAATTTCACCCCTGCTCCCAAAAGCCAAATTCTGCTTTGTCGCTGAAWGACTGCACAGGGATATAGCAGCCATCCTTCTTCCCTGCTCCGTGGATCCTGGCAGAACTAACTGGAGTGCACCTCTGGACTCCTCCTGGGCAAAAAGGAGCAGAGGATTAACAGCCCTGGCCAAGAATCAGTCTGGCAGGAGGGATAATGGAAAACCRTAACGCTCCATCACTGCCGCCAGCGTGACTGGGAGCTCTTCTTAYCGCAAATCACTGCACAGCCCAGCATCACAGTTTTGGGAACTGGGGAGAATTCAGCCATCAGAAAGCACCCTCTTGAGCACACCTGGCACTGTGGGTCCAGCACTGTCCACCATTTGGGTGTTAAAGCTTCAGAGCCCTTTTTTTTGGCTTCCCCAGGCACATCTGCTCCCTCTCACAGCTCCTCTCTGACCTGAGGAACCATGAGTTGATGCAGATGAAGATCTCTGCAGCTGTAGTAGATCCTTTCCTGTTTCACCCACGTGCCCAAAGCAGTCAGATTTGGAGCCTCTTCATCAGTATCTGATCAATATCCACATCAAATAGATAAATCAGCCATTCAGATGCTGTTACAGGAAATCTGAGGTCACATTAGGCGACAGGCAGCTACTAGTAAAACACACTAATGCTACTTAATTACCATACTTCAGGCATTAAAATTAGTGCAATTTAATGAGCACTCTATTCTCCTGATAATTTCAGTGAATGATCTACTCCTTAGCAAAAAGTTTTAATAAAAATCTTCATCTTTYACCAGCAAAAGGAAGATATTACATCAGATGAACAGGACCACTTTGAACTCCCCCATTGCCTRTGATTAAACTCTGTTGTTTGAAAGCAAAGCCTATTTTACACCCATCCACAATCGCATTTCAGAAGTCAGATTGTAGTTTGTACTTAACCTGTGAATCCTGCCCCCAATGTTTCGTGAGGAGCAGTAATGAAGAAAAACTGCTGCGTAGACTGTATTCATTACACATTTCATTTTAACTASGTCACAGTTCGGGACCTCCCAACAGGAAACTGCTACTCTTTCACTGATCCACACATTATCACGTTTGATGGATGGTGAGTATTTTACTTTGAAATCATTTGGCTCAATTACTGTGGTTATCAGTTTCTAGATGTGGCATGCATTTGGGTTTACATTAGAATATCAAAAAAGCACTGAACAAGTTTTCTTACAAAGAGGAATGTATTGCTTCAACAACACACGTGGTTTCCTTCCAGCTGTTTGTGCTCCTTTTAACAAAAGAGCTAGAAATGGATTAATCTTTGAGAAGCAGTGGGTTTGAGTCTGAATAATTTTGACAAGGCAAAGGTCAGATTTCAAAATGTTCTGCARACAGAACCATCACCAGTGGCTCTGAGAGGGTGTGTGCACCATGTGTCATTGTGTTAGTGTCACCCCAGAGCCACCCACCAGAGCAGCACAGCACACAGGACAGGAGTTTAGCTCCTTCCCAGGAGTTTAGCAACATCTGATGCAAAGTCACTCATCAGAAGGATATTTTTTGATTTCTTCTACTTCCAGAGCTGGTTTATGCGCAGCTGGAGTTCACAATCATAACCACAACAACAACAAAAAAAAAACTTACAAAGATGGCTATAATGTCTCAGTTAAAAAAAAAAGAAAAAAAAAAAAAAAAGTGCAGAAATTATAAGTGTCAAATAACAGGAGAAGAGTGCAAAAATAAACTTGTGCATCCTCCTGTCGTGTCCAAATGTCCTTCTGTATTACCCAGCCATAAGCTGCTTAAAGACTTACTGAGCCAAGGTGGCATCTTTGTGTTTGMCAGCCTGAACCATGCAGAACTTTCCCTCATTTACCCTCCCTAATCATTCATGAATCTGTTTATCCCAGCTAATTGACATCACTGACAGCTTTTAAAATTTGCATCTGGCACRTTTGATCCACAGTCACAAATACTTCAGACAACATTCCAAGTTTGTCATTCTGCATTTAACATCGTGATGGCACAGGCAACAAATTTGGGTGCTCAGCACCCACAGGGGCTAAGCAGGTGTGAATTTCTGATATCCTGATATCCTGATGGCCCAATTTCAGTCCAGAATGCTCTGGAGGTGACATCTGAAATGGTGTCAAAGCTGGAGAAATCTGTTGATGGAATGTGAGTAAGAAGRCAGTGACTCCATTAAAGGTTATGTGTCTGCCTCTAACTGAGATTTTACCTAAATTGGGTAGTTTGAGATAAACTCTGCTCATCTGCAGCTTCCCAGACCCCCTTCTGCTGTGCTGAACAGCATTTAAATGTGGTCAGGAACTGGTTTCATACAAGTCTGGGTGCTTTTCTTGCTTTGGAAGCTTCATTAGRGTTGCAAGAGTTTCAAAGACTCTCCCATGCCTCATGTAGCTGCAATTATTTCAACTCCGGGACTTTAAACTGGATCAGAGTATTATTTCAAACCTCTCTATACATTTATATTCTAAAATATACCCTTTTGATTTAGGGCTGAGAATGGACAGTGGYCTGTCAGATTGTTGTGTTTAGGGAGTAATAAATAGCTGAAAAGTATCTCTTGTAACGGGGACACCCTTCCAGCCACAAAGCAAATTTTTACATTGCTTCCATGGGAAAAAAATAGGTCTACAATAAAATAAAGCAACTTTATTTGAATAACTCATTTTTTAATCCTATTATTGATAGCATACAGAAATGCTTCTAAGTGATTTATGTTCTATTTTAGCACAGGGACTTTGGAAAAGCCCATCCTTCTGTGTCATCCTGCCCCAGAGTCACAGAGCCTCGAAAGAGAAAAATCTCAGAATTAGCTTGGCCCCTCAAAAATGTTTTTCCTTTTGGACAGATATGCATTGCTGCTCTGTCCACTGCAGCTTTAAATGAGCCCCATTGATGGGGCTTTGTCCATCTCAATAACTGGATTATTTCACTGAGATGTATCACTTCTTGTTATTCAGCCAAGTTTCTTACCCATGATTTCACAGACCCATTACTCCTACTTATATTTCCATTTATTATTGTAAATAATTTCTCTTTCAATTATTATNGCTCTGTATTTAAGGAGTGGAGAATTCAATTCCTGTTTCTGTCCTGGTACAAATCCATAATCTGAAGGCAAAGGCTGACACAGAGGTCTGGAAGTGAAGCATTCCCTTTTTATCATGGAARGAAATGTGGTGGGAAAATGTGTTTGAAATGAGAACTTTTTGCTTATTTTGGTTTCAAAAATTACATGAAAATCATGAAAAATTTAACTTAAGTAAAAATATTGATTTGAATAAATTTGCAAAATTGAAAAGTGGTATAAAAATCAAAAGACTGGAAAAGCTTTTCTCATTGGCAGAAAAATTTTCTTACAGAAATGTCCACTTCCAATGTATTTTGTGACTTCTATTGTGATGTTTCCAATGTTTTTAATCAGGCACAGTGAGCTCACATTACATCTGAAGTATTTAACAATCATTAGACGACCAAAATACCCAACTCCCACTCCTTAATAGCACTCCCCTTTGCTGTGCCTCCTGCTAATATATGTCTGTAGGAATATTTATCTTGTAATCTTTTCATTCTTTTCACCAAAGGCGGTGACTGAAAATCAAAGAAGAATGTGTCATATTTTACAGCATAAGCACAATCAATTTGTGTATATTGGAGCGTGGATGTGAAATAATGTTAATTATACCAGCTAAAATCCAGAGAGAGCACTTCCTTTTATAGCAAAGTACCTTCTAAATTAAACAAATGTGAAAGCCTGGTAAAGCAAAAGTATAGCCCTCATTACTGGTTATGGCACATTATAAATATAAAAGCTTTTCATGCCATAAATTGCGGATTCTTAAATATGAAGTACTAGCTTAAAACTAAATATGCAGAAAATCCTTTTAGGGCAAAGTAAAAAGGGGAATATTTTTTGATTGGGAGCTATATACATCATTTATGTTATTTTGCATTTTACCTTATAAAAAAAAAAAAAAAAGTTAAAAGATTTTTCAGATTTTCCAAACATTTACATTAATCCCTGTTATTCCTAATCAATATTATCAACAAGTGGCACCATTTKCTGGTTGGCTTTAATGACTTTCATSAAAGGAGCCCATAAGTCCTGGGCATGAGCAGGCCTGCCAGGTGCTGGGTTTTTGGTAGTTTTTGATAAACTGCAGCAGGTTAGTTGTTCTCAGGCACTCAGTGTCTGCTGAATATAACCCAACATCTGCTCTGAGAATAACAGGTTGTGATGAACTCTCTGAAAGCAGAGAACATCCTTCAGCATCACCCAGCTCTTCGTAGGGCCAAGCCTACCATGAAATAGTTCTACTATGAATAGCCTACCATGAAATAGTTCTTATTGGCAAGGAAAGAAGGAGCTTGGAGGGACGTGTCAACAAATTTAAAAAAAAAAAAGGTGGCAAAACTGTGGTTGAAAACCTTCAAGAATGGCCACAATAAACACTGAGTTAGTACAAAGGTGAAGTGTAGCTAGGTGAAGAGGAAGTGCATGGTGAATAACACTGAATTAATAAAAACTGAATTAATACAAAGGTGAAGTGTAGCTTGGTGAAGAGGAAGTGCATGGTGAATAACACTGAATTAATAAAAACTGAATTAATTCAAAGGTGAAGTGTAGCTTGAGGAAGAGGAAGTGCATGGTGTGAGTTAATCTAACACTATTGGGCAGCAATTGTTTACATATGTCTATATTGCCGTCTGTCCCTCTGTTATGATTAACCAACAGGAATGATTCCTACAGAATCTCACTGCCATAACCAAACACTCGGCAGTGTTTTGTAATTCTTGGATAAAGAGCAAAACTCGAGCCATGGCTTCATGCTGGGACAAGAACCTATTTCACCCCTTGGAAAACCACCAAGCACACAGAGGGGGAGGGAGGGAACCCCTTTTTCCCCAGAGTATCCATTGCTGCAGGATATCAGGGAAGCAGGATGGGGAAGAACATGGGGAAATGAACTGTGGAGGGTGATTTAGACACCAACAGTGGTGCCTGGTCCACAAGGAACACACAAAACTATCTCGTGCAAGAGCTCCTCTAAATTTAATTCAGGTATTTARTGCCACAGGCACCTTCTCCAGTGTTGTCCAAAGAATCATAATCACAATTACAGTTGTGCAAACATCACAAAAGTTTACCTGACTGMGTTCAATTATCCATTCAGCTGATCCAAAGGCGTCTGAAAGCTTTCATTTAGGCACGGTGCAGGTTTGTTATGAGCTGTGCAATCTATGCCATGGCTTAATTGAAGGACTCGCAGMGACTTCCAGGAGGGTTGGATTGGGTCCACTGTCAATGATTATTAAGCAATAAATAGCTCCCCTGACTGCAGTGGCATTAAATTCATATGCAAATGCAGCCCTCTTTAGCAGGTCGAGGTGATTAGTCTGGGTACAGCCAATCTGATGTTTTATTTTCCATCAGCCTCCCCAAACACCTCTCCTAAGCTGATCCAGTAGAAGGAAACTGTAGAAGGTTCTCTCATTAAATATCCTCTCTCCTCRTTCTCCCCCACAAAGATGTCCAAATTGAGCAAGCACTTGATGTTTAAAGAKATTATCTTTTTTTAAAATATATTGTCCTTACTTCTGATCAATCTTGGCAGCACCATCCATGCAGTGCACTAAGGGATTTATGTACCTGATTAGAAAATAGGATGAGACAGAACCATTCAAAGTTTTATCACTTTACAGCCAACCTGTCTAAGTTTTTCAAGATGAAAGATAAAGTCAGATGTGTTTTCTATCAGAGAAAAGCAGCTGGAGTTTAAATTTTTACTGTGTTTTAAGCTACAAAGTTATCTACTGTTTTTATTCTGAGGAGAAATAAAATGTAGAAATACACATGTGAAAAAGTCACAGTTCTCAAGCCATTTGTTCCTCTGTATAAGAAACATTAATGGCCTGGAAAAATATTGATGTTTGCATGGCACTGCTTAAAAATAATCCTGTTATTTAGCAGAAGCATTTTATATATTCCTTTTTACATTMTTTTAATGTAGAAAAGAATAAAACTTATTATTATAAGCTTATGGTTTAGTTTCCATATGACTTAATTTCATAAAAATCATGTTTTAAAAGTAATCACAGYGCCTTAAACGAAAACAGAATAATCCATTGTTTTTAAAGATGGAAGCTGTTGGCTTACAGGGAGAAAACTTCAACATATATTAAGTATATGGCTACTGTTTTCTTTTATGTAACATATTAGAATAAAATAGAGTGAGAATAAGACAATTTTACAGAGTGAGAGCACAAAGAACAGGCAGAAGAGGGTCCTCTCTCAGGCCTCTGTCTTAGAAACTCCAGATAGTTCGTGTAGAGGGCAAACACTTAAGTTATTAAAGTTATCCTGCTCCTGGCCGCACTAAAATGGAGCAGGGGCTTTCCTCACAGAAAAGAATGAAAGTTCTAAATTGTTTTCCATGCTGGATTGTGCTGACTGCCAATCCACTGAGCGTGAAAGTTGCTTTTACAGGGAAGTCATTGAGGGGGAGGAACAAAACTTCMTTTTAGCAGGCTCTCAGTAGAATCCCAGACTTTCACAAGAAACCTTTACCTAGCCACGGCCAGACTTGTAAAAATTGGTGATYAGTCACAGAAGAGGTTATTTGAGCACTGATTTCCCTTTGAAGARCATCATACTCCAAAAGCATGCGGTTAGAACCAAAGCGTGTTTATTGAGACCCGGAGGCAGRAACTTCTTCCCATTTGCTTTCTCTCAAATGTTTATCCTTTTTATCCATGCCCATTGCCATGGCAGCAGCTGGGACACAACTCCTGCTTTCCACAGCAATTCTTAGGCACTTCCAGCTAATAATTGTGGTGGCATTTCCTTGGATACAGAGCCAAAGAAACGCTTCTCCAAGTGTGGATTGTTCCCTCCTTCAAGGCCAGCAACGCTACTGGTGGACGGGTACCAACACACACACCTGGCACAGGTGGATGCCCAGGATCTCCAAACCCTCTCTGTTTTTGTTTCTTGGTGGCTGTTTAGGCGTTATGACAACTATAAACTCAGGACGTTCCTGCTGTGCCGGAGTGAGTCGCGGATGTTTGAAGTTCACGTCCGGCAGCGGCGTTGYGGACATCACCGCTCCRMCACCKCCTGCAATTGTGGCRTGGCTGCACAAGAAGAGGGGGACAYCGTGGTGCTGGACACCTGCAATGGCCACTTTCAGGACAGCAGGCCCCAGCTGACCATCAAAAGCAACGAGGCATCGCCACGAGTCAGGATCCTGAAGTCCTACGGAGGCAGGAAAATAACAGTACGTGYGGCGGTTGCRCTTTGAAAAGACGCGTTTAAGATTKCTGAATTATTAATGAAGCTGCTACAAAAATATCTGAAGCCACCCCGAGCGCCTGCAGCCAARTGTACCGCAAGATGAGAGGCAGGGAAGTAGCTGGTTAAAGTGTTGGTTTAGCAAACTGTAAAAYAAAACARAACAAATATCTCTGGAAATTTCTTGGYGACACGGCGCAGCTCTGATAGCGCTATTTGCTCTCCCTGCTTGCTTATGCCAGGCACTACCCAACCACATCACATAAAGCAAATTTCTTTGCAGGGCTYAAGATATAAATATTCAAGGGAAGAACGCAGGTAGCAGGATAATGGAGTTTTAGAGTGGAGCAGTAAGACACTATTAGTCAGAGCCAGAGAGCCCCCAAAAGCTGTGAAAATGGGCTGTAAATGTGAAACATTTGGTGACACGTAAAGCATTTGCCTAAAAAATATATGGCCACAACTTACTTTGCATAAGTATCACTTATCCACACTAATCCACTGAAATCACTGGTAAAATAAGAGCAGGCTGCACCAGGGCTTTTGGTAAGGAAAAGAGCCACAAATTATGGCCAAGAAGATAATTTTATCCTAGAGCTGTATCATCAAGATTTATTGCCATGATATGCTTTGGATGAAGATCGGTCCACAGCAGAGCCAGAATGATGCAGGAAGAGCCTGTGCTTGGCTCTCCTTGTGATCTCACTTGGAATAGAGCTCAGGAAGGTAGTAATTGAAAGTCTGCTAATTATAGAAGAGAGAAAAAGCAGGAATCAAGCTGTCATTTCATTTTGCAACTGAATGCACTGTAATTACTGTTTTATTACTAGAATAATCTTAGCAAGGAATCCCTACTCTCATTTACACCTGAGGTAAGAGCCGGGGAAACAAATCAGGGTGGACTGGGGACACGAATGTGARTCCTGCTCTGATCTGAGTGGGAATSTGCAGGAACTGTGCAGCAGTGAACAGGATCCCTGARCACACCAAGGAATGTGGTGCACCCCAGTTTTTTGTCCATTGTTATCCTCATTCAGCTCAGGAGCCAGCTTCCCCCAGGTCCCACAGCATTCAAGGGGCTTGGAATGGGGTTAATTCAGGCAAAGTGGCAGCTTCCAGCAGCCAGTGACTAAATATCCCTGCAAAGTGAGGTCTCAAAAAAGTTTCTTTGAAGCCTCAATTAGCAGAGTTAAATCCAAGTGGGGTCAGTTGCCTGGGGCAGCAGGAAGGGAAAGGGTTAGAGCCCTCCAAACTCCTGAAATAAATCCACACCTGGAAATATTAATCTAGACCCCACAGAAAGCTGAACAGCTCATGCAGTTCTGACTGCAAGGGTTTTTCGTGCAGCCCTGCAAGAAATGCTCCTCCCTGCAGTAAAGCATGCAAYGAGAAGACACTGCTTATCTGAGGAATGAAATCAAATCCTACCCACGACTGTGGCAACTGCAGATCTGCTCCACCTGCTAAACCACCAGGAAAAGTGAACTCATCAGGGCAGTTGAGCTTTGTGTTGAGGAATCATTGGGGTTTTTTTAAACCTACCTTGGTAAGAGAAATGTAGGTGCAGCCAAAGTGGAGGGACAGCAAAGAACTTCTGAGGTGTTCAAAGCACCAGTTTTATATGACAACTTCCATTATTCCCCAAGGCAAATAGTTTGTGAAAATAAATGCTTTAAAGCGAAACACAGAGGGTCTGAATCCAAAGCAGTGTTCTCAGCTCATTGCAATCAGAGGCATTTTGCTGCTGTGCTCATGGAGGGCTGCTTAAAAAAAAATTCCCATGCCTGAAATAACAGAGAATTAAAATGAGCAGGATTATTGTTTAGTGAGGCCAGTATGCAAATTCTAGGTTCCAGCACAAGAATAAAAATGTAAGCTTGTTACTCTTTTACAGATATGAGTAGATTTGATGGGGAGGAACTTCAAAGGGACCAAAAAATCCCCACCAAAATAAAGAAAAGCTAAGAAAGTTATTTGGTTGAATAAATTATTAGGCAGGTGCCACTTAAAAAAGGAAAATAATTATTTTAAAATTATTATAATGAGATGTTTGTGAATCTTTAATGTACTTTTTAAGATTAACTGAAAATGCTTAATTTTGGTTAAAAAGAAAATATTGAGGTTACTTACTGGGATAGTATGTTGCTGCTCCCTCTCCTGGCCCAGATAATTTTCAAATCACTTTCTTTTTACCTGTAAAAATAAAGCAAACAAGCAAAAAAAATACAATTCAGTTAAACAGATATTTTCTTTTTTGCTTTTATTTCTTTTTATTATTTAGTTAGTAAACCAATCTGAAAAATCCATTATCCACACAGTTACGTCTTGTTTTGAACCCTGCCAGGWTTTTTTTTCTTTTAAAGGTCAGTGTAAGCCTGCTACTAGTCTTTTWATGAGAAAATTGCTTTATCCACTTTAAAACACAATCATTTTCCGGGTAATCYGGCTTTGGAAAGTGAAACGATTCTTCAGAAGGAAGAAAGCTGTTTTTCAAACTTGGCAGTTTATCTGAAAGRAATTATTTCCCAGGAAAAGACACAAGGGTGGCCTTATTGTCATGGAAGTCACTTCAAAAATCAGCTGGTAACTTACCACTGGGAAAACTTCAATGGRTGCAATGATTAATTTAAAAAGAAAGTACTCATGCAGTTATATATTTATGTAATGCCATCAGATATTAATGCCATGGAATCTGAAAGCAAGCTAAATAATAGCACAAATAAATATTTATAGTGTTTCTAAGTGATCTTAAATTACCTCCACCATCGCTACCGTCCTGCTTTGATATTTTCGTTTATGGAAGGAGAGGTTTTTTTTATTGCATTTAAAGCTGGGTAAGAGGTTTGATTCATTGGGKKTTTTTTTTCCYCTCYCTCTTCAGATCCTGTTCCYTTCRGGAGCRTTTGYTCRAGTGGATGTGAGCGGGTGGGGAAYGGGTGTGACCRTGAGGACACCGGGAGAGGATTTCAACAGCACACGGGGTTTGTGTGGATCCTTTGATGGGATTGCTCACAACGACCTGGACAATGTGCCCCAAGAAAACTTCATCGAGCACTGGAGGTACAAAACCAGAGAGATCCCACCCAGGAGATGCTCTCAGCAGCGTTTCAARTGGTCTTGATGGGTTTATTCATCACAGACTCTTCTAATGGCCTGACAGAGGGATCTGCTGAAGCTCAGGGTGAAGCCCTGAGACCCCTTTCGATCCCATTTGGTTTAATTTTCAGTCAGCACAAAACACAGCAGCAGCTTCCCAGAGAGAAGTTTAATATTCACAAGTGATGTCATGTTAACAGCTGTGTTAAGATCCCTCTCAGCTGTTAAAAAAAATGCAGTTCTCACCCACACTTGAAAATGTAGATAGCTGACAATGGGGATTAATTAAGGGTTTCACATTTCCCTTGTTCTTTTATTCCTCAGCACTAATTACAATATGTGAGTATAGATTAAATGTTACATTTTGACAAAGTGTGGTAATATACGTACCATGCTGAAACTTAATACCAACTCTACYGATGATGAGAGTGAGCTCTGAAAACTTGTACTTTCTGGGTCAGAAGGTCTGGAAACAGAGCCAGGAGTCTGACCCTTTGACATTTTCCTGTCACTGTCCCTATTCTCACTCTATCTCTCCCTACCCCACATTTTAATTCCTGTTGCTGAACTTCAAACATGACTAACAGGTGTTCCTAAAACCAAAATATGCTTGTTTGTGTAGTCTTGTTTGCAAAGTATGCTTTGCAAATAAGGAAAAATAAGGTAAAACACTGTAACAGGCCACTTAATCTGTACATGGGAACTCAGCACAATCCCATAGGAGCAATGAATTTTTAGACCTCTTGCTCTTCAGAAAATAAACAAACACCTCTGCCATATTGTAGTTCCAGTGAGTGGGCCTAAGTAATGGCTATCTAATGTCTGTTTTGACCTGTCATTACAAATTGTGCTATTTAGAATTCAAGAGCCTTCATTAGCATCCTAATGATGTGATAATCAGACAGAGATTGCTTCTGGGAAGGCAGATGGAGAAATAGTTTGGTGCAAGAACTAATAACTTACTACCCAAAAAAAGGGTTAAAAAAGATCCTTAGCAGGATGTGTTCAAAGCAAGTTTTTTGAAAGAGCTGAAGCCAAGCACAATACGGAGGAATTTACTTATAAAACACTGAGGAGTTTTCTAAAGCTCAGCTCCGTATGATGGAGAAACTCCAGGGAAAGCAGGAGAAGCTCCTGATGTGAGAGGGGCAAGAGGGGTGAAGAGTTTCATCTTGCAGTGCTCCCAAGGATGGATCCTCAAGGACCCTTCAGAATCTGGTTAAAAAAAAAAAAAATAATAAACCAACAGAGAAACTAAGGCCACCTCCAGAGGAGACTGGATCATTCTCTGATTCACTCAAGGCGCAGTAAAAAACAACAACAGCTAGTGGGTGATTTTTCTGCTGCTGTTTTAAATTTAATTTTAAATAACCCTGAAAGTGTGCTAGGTTTCCTCCAGCACCTGAAGCCAGTCTGAGTGCCCACCATCTGGCAGTTCAGAGCTTTCCCTGGCTCCCACCTCTCCCAAGCAGCTGCAGGGCTCTGCACGCACAGATCAGCTTTATACATCGGCTTTCCAACACAACTTTTAAACAATAAAACAACATCAGAGCTTCCCAGCCAATAAATAGCAACCAGAGAAGAGGTGAATTTTAAAACATGTGATTTAAGCAGGCAAAAATAAAATTTTCAAAGCTTTTAAAAATATATCAAGAAATCAGCAGAAATGCTGTTAATTTTGGACATTTTCTGTATAATAACATCCAACTCAGTTTGGAAAACTTTAGTTCTTTGTGGGTTATAGTGGGTGGCTCAGAGGAGTGACAGTCTGGCCATCTCGTGTAGGGGACAGAGGGCACATCTGAGCTCCAAAGGAGCTGTTGGTATGTGCACGGCTGTGAGGAAGGATAGAATTTTCCTTCTCTTCATCCCTGCTCTCTTGACAGGGGCTGACCAAAAGAAGGTAATTGGTTTCACCTGGTATTAACAGAGGATTTTGTTTTAATAAAACATCAAGGCAAAAGAGTTTCATTTTATTGAAATTTTCATTGGTGTGTTACGTTTCTGTCCCGATTTTGAACCAACTTACGTGGATCATTTATTTGTATATAAATTCTATTTGCACTACCCTCTAGTTTAGGTAGTATTACATTAAAGGAGGAGTCTAGGTTTAAACTTGATGGTGAGTCAAGGAAGCTTCAGGGGCAGATAACTCCTCTGTTAGAGTCAGAGGAACAGAGTGTGAAGGACACTCATTCAAGCACTAAAATATGTTGTCCAACAGACAWCTCTCTCAATCATCAAAAATGTTTTATTTTCCTAGACTGCAGGAAAGTGGAGAACAGCTTGTGCATCTCCATCMGCAGGGAAACCATCCTTTTATCTCCTACCGTATCCTGCGGAGCCCACACTTTGGGCAAAACGGTTTCATAAATGTTTGTACTCATATTTCAGGAGGAGAAATAGGTTCCTTTTGCCAGTCTCAATGAGATGTTCTGTTTAAAAGTTATGATTGTGTCAATGATCAAAATAGTGATATCAGGCCTGCCATTTTAAATATCTTTTTTAAAAAATTGGATAAAGGAAATTACGATTTCCACAACAGTATCTAGTGTTTGGCTCCAACATGTTGGCAAATGCTTTCTTTTTCCTGAAACCTCAGCATTCTGCCTGCAAGACAAAATTTAATGCCAAAATAATTTCAATTTTTGGTGCTATTTCAAATTTGTCTGGTAATGACATGCTGACAAATATTGGGACAAGAAACATATCCTTTTCTATGAAACTGTAGGATTCCTCTCCTGCTGCACAAATAAGATCAATAAGAGATATGAGTTTTCTGAAGAAATCTGAATCATGGCTGTTTATTCATACTGAACTCTTGAGAAGTTCATCCATCATTAGAGACTAAATTTAAAAGGGGGAAGAGAATCATCTCAACTTATATGATAGCCTAGCCCTATGATCAATAGAAAACTACTTTGTGTTGGAGGAAAAAATCAAAGAAAACTCCAGTGGAAAAGAAGAATGAAATAAAGTAAAAAAAAAAAAAAAAAAACAAAAAAAACCCAACCAAACAAACAAA